AATAATTAGTAGCAACGTCAAAATTGGTCATATAAGCAAGAATCCCATATTCAGCCTACCTAGACAAAGGATATTTAGAATCATTTGATGATGTCTAAGGAATCTTGTTTACTTAACAAAGAGACATGGATCTCATTTTAGTTGAAAAGGAGAAACAATTACTAATTAATAAAAACCTTATATATAGAGATGTATATGAGCCAATGTTCACCAAGCAAGAGGAGAACATACTTGTCACATAACCTTTAATGATAGTGGATCATGATTTTGGTTATAAGACATAAGTCCAAATCATTTGAAATGTTTAAAAGTTTAAACTTGAAAAGTTGTGTGACGAACTAGTTAGAGTATTAAGGCATCTCGATTGGATCGAGAAAATGAATACTTGAATACTAAAATCTTAGATCACTTAAAAGAGAATGAGATTCTCTATGGAGAACACATGTTAGACATGATCGAGTCCATAATAAGTCAAATTAATATCCCTATTTTGGATAAATACTACTTACCGCAACTTGTACACTCGAATAGGATTCTAAATAAATCTATTTAAATAGATCACATATGAGATATGGGGAAAGAAAATAAATTCATCTTTCCTTAAGATTTGAAGCTATAAAGTGTATGTCAAGGTTTCATAAAGACAAACTGAATCCTAAAATCAATAAAGTGCTAAATTATGAGATATCCTAAGTGACATAAGGATGTCAATATCTTACCACTAGAACAAAGTGTTGTTCATTACTAGGCATACTATATTCCTTGGAAAGGAATTTATGGAAGCTAGAAATAGTGAGATGAAATTTAAACTTAATGAGATTTAAGTATACTCACAAATTGACACTCTAATAAAGGAATCCTAAGGTAGAATGATTACAAAGTGTTGTAACTTGCTCACAAACAAAACACAAGAATTTCATAAGTTTAAAAAGAATCCATCACAAGACAAAATGATATGATATTCTCGTCTTGACACATGGTGATGTGAGCCATAAGAGGGATGAAGAAGCTAATACTTTTGAAAAAGCAATGTTAGACATTGATTCTTAGACATGGCAAATCAAAAAATATACGGATGACGTACCCGGATGGTTCCTAAGAATATGCAAATAAGATTTGCAAGATGTTAAGGTCCATTAATAGACTTAAGCAAGCCTCTAGGAATAAAATTCGAGGTTTTATGAAACGATCAAAGAGTTTGATTATACATCAAATACAAAAATGAACCTTGTGTATATAAGGAGTTAATGGAAGCCTATTAGTCATGGTTATTTGACACATAATTACACCTTGACTATAATATTACATGTTCTAAACAAAAGATTAAGGAATCCAAAAGAAATTTTCCAATAATGACATGAGAGTAACCTACAATCTAAGAGTATAGATCTATAGAGATAGATCACTTGGAATGTAAGGAGTCTTCCAAGGTAGTTATAATAACATGACACTAAAAGGTTTAGTATAGAAAAATCAAAGAAAGTTTTATTCCAAAGTCATGTAGCTTGATGACCAATAACAAAGGATCCATAACACAAGCTAAGGAAACAAGGCCTTATTAATGGTCTAAGCATGTATCGCATTGCTATCAATTAATTATAAAGATAAAAGGGTCGTGGTAACATAAGGATAGAAAAGATCCACACCGACGATTACATAGCCGATCCCTTGACTAAGCCTTTGTCATAGCTGAAACATAAGACCCTTACTCGATCGTCGGGATTAACGGACATGGCTAGTTAGCTCTAGTGCAAGTGAGGGATTGTTAGTTAGGTGCCCAAGATCTAAACATGTTTGGATGGGCTTGATTTAATGTATTACTTCATTATTTATTTTAATAATAACAATAATAAAGAAGTCATTCTATTAATTCTTGTGTTTTATGTTTGTAAATTCGGTAGAATTAGATAGAAGTTCTTATGATATGCATTTGCAATAGTGATTAATCGAAAGATGTGAGACAAACACTAATACATATAAATAATATAATTAAACGTCCCAAGTCATAGCATTGTCAAGAATCGACATTGACTATATACGGATATTGACTATATATGGATAGACTTATGAGTGCTATGCTCATGCTATATGATAACGATAGGAGATCTCACACCTATTGACATGGTGATACCAAAGCAAGCACTTAGGTGATTCATATTAAATAATATACCACTGGACTTGACTCACCATAAGAATCCATTTGGTTTTAGTCTATAGGAATATCATACGAGATTGGTACAAATGGTCCTTAAACTTGACGTCATTATAGTTGTCTCATTGGAGGACTTATGGACTTTGACACTCATTTCGATGGACCTATTAAAGGGTTGCACGTGGGTGATTCGTTGGGTGCACTAGAACTCTAAAGGAGATAGGTGTATGACTAAGATAGAACATGTCATTCCTTGTATGCTAAAGGAGTTATCACATTGCATTTTAATAAATGCCCTCTTGAGAAATCTATGGCCATAGTAGGAGTATGTCAATAAAGCATAGTTGGTTTACTCTAAGAGCTAAGACATTTGGGAATCAAAGAAAACTTGTGTGATCATAATCGAACAAAACTTATAACCAAGTTCGAGATCACACTCGATAAGTTAACATGAGGACTTAATTGTATGGTAATCATGCTCGTGAAAGGTAATAATGGATTAATTAATCAAGTTCGAGATCACATTGTGATAAGTTTTTGGAAGGATCCGAATGACGAGTCATCCGGGTGATTCTAAATTGGTCTTGTCATTCGTGTCTTATGTATTAAGTCATTGTAGGTTTAATTTTATTTAAATTATACCAACTAAATGTATCATTGTAGTCCATGTACTTTTAATTTCTCTAATTGAGTTCCTATATCTTATAATTTTAGCCATAGAGTTTTCAATTGCTTCAACTATACCCCAAATCGCTCTAATTTTGATTCAATTATGCCCCTCATATAATTTTCTTTTTTTGTATTTTTTATTCCTCCTTTTTGTTTTGTTTTTGTTTTTTTTTTTTCTAATAAATACTGAAATTAAATAAGCTAAAATGAAAGATAAAAATAAAAACTACAAGGGATAAAAGTTGGAGGAATATATAATCTAAAAGTTGGGTGATGACATGTGTAAAGAAAGATGATATATTATTTTTAATGTACTATTCACATCTATGCAAATTAATCATCTAGATTTCTGGTTTGGTCATGTTGAATCCTTAAATGCATTTGGGGGTACGTTTGAAGCAATTGAAAACCCTAGGACTAAAATTAAAAAATATAAGGACTTAATTGGAGAGATTAAAAGTACATGGACTACAACGATACAATTATACCCCTCATATAATTTTTAATTTTTTTATCCCCCCTTTTTTTTTTTAACTAAATATTGAAATTAAATAAGCTAACATGAAAGATAAAATAAAAATAAAAATAAAAATTATAAGGGATAAAAGTTAAGAGGAATATATAATACAATATTTGGGTTATGAAACGTGTAAAGAAAGATGATATTGTTTTCAATGTAAAATATTGAAATTAAATAAGCTAACATTAAGGATAAAAATAAAATAAAAATAAAAACTATAAGGGATAAAAGTTAAGAGGAATATATAATAAAATATTTGGGTTATGAAACGTATAAAGAAAGATGATATTTTTCTAAATGTACACTGTACATCTATGCAAATTAATCATCCAGATTTCTAGTTTGGTCATGCTGAATTCTTAAATGCATTTGTGTACTCCTCACATCCCCCCCCCCCCCCCCAAAATTTTTTTATAATACTCAATGAATAGCAATGGTACATGTACATTGATTATTCCATGAGTTCATTTTTAAAGAAAGAGAGAGACATAAAAATAATAATAATAATAATAATAATAACATTCGAACTCATCAAAAGTGATAAAAAAAATTTCTACATTAGCTTAAATTTTTTTTTTAAATAATAATTCTCTCTTATTTCTCTCTTTTTTGTATCTCTCTCTTTATGGAATAACTTTTACTAGTTATTTATTGAGTATTATAAAATTTCTCCTTCTACGAGAAGAAATTTGAATTTTTGCTTATTTAAAAATTAGTATATGCATGTATAATTTTATATTTAATATTGTTTTTTGAAAATTAGTATCTGAATTGTTATTTTAGATTTGATTTTTTTTTTTACTTTATTATTTAAACATTAATTTATTCTATAATTCTCAAATATCATTCTTTTCTCTAAAAAAAATTCAATTCTTAGTAATTGCTTTACACACATGAAGGAAAAAAAAATCTGTTTTTTGAGAAAATCATAAAAATTTTCAAGGTTGATATATATATATTACTTTCCTAAACGTTAAAAATATATTAAAAAAATAAAAAATAGCTTGAAATAATACCTTTTTTTTAAAATCCTATATAATAAATCTTATTAAATAATTTTCATCATAAAGCTATATATGTGACCCTTATTTAAAAAAAGAAACAAAACTAAAGAATCGACCATATTTTTAATAAATAAATAAAGTTGAAAAGTGTCGAAACAAAAATGAAATGTAAAAATTCAGGAACTGATTTTTAAATAAAAGTTCAGTTCAGAAAAAAACTTGACCTATTTAACCTAATATAACGCGTGCCTGAAACAGCGTAAAGCAAAACATCTACAGTTGTATAAAATACACTTCTGCGCAGTAAAACTCAGATTCGTTAATTAACTAAAGCCAAACCTCTCATAAAACAGAAGAGGGACATGAGCATCTATCTGCCCATGATAATCCAAAGGCTGCCTGCAACATTGTTTATTGAACCTTGGATTTTTTTTTTTTTAATTGTTATTATTATTATTATTATTTGAGAAGAAAAATTTGGAAGTTATTGAAATCAAATATTTAATAACAATAATAATAATAAGAATAATAATTACTCCTAATAAGAAGACCTGCTAACTAATGACCACAAAATTTTAATGGTAGTGATAATAGAGGGAAAAAAAAAATCCAGAAACACTACAGGTAGCAATTTAAAAGGTAATTGACAATGCCTTCATTGGAGTATCTGACTGCCGTAATCAGCATTGAATTTCTCATAGCGATGGGCGTGGAAATGAGCAGATGGCCTTGTGTTCTTCAAAGCCGTCTCTATATCCTCAGGTCTGATCGGTCCAACTTTCGGCAACTCTGCAGGCTCACAACTATTCAGTCGAAGTATGACAAAAAACTAATAGATTTCACAAGCAAAAATATGAATACAGCAGCAGCATAGAAGGTATTCTCTTCATAAAAGGTGGCTGAAAATGTGAAGTGCTATAAAACAGGATAAGAACAAGATCAAGTGTTCATACCAACCATGGTAATATACGCTTGTTAATGGACAATAAAAAAACCTAAACGAAGCAACTGAACATTTCTTCATATACAGAATTATGGTGTAAGTTCTTTGTTCATCGCATTATCTTCCCTCCCAGGAAAATGGCATGGATGAGAATGCATAGGTTACCTAGCAGAAACATATGTTTCTGTGGAATTTCACTAGGGCTCCACACAGCCTTGCCAATGAACAGACACATTAATTCTTTCCATCTAACTCACCTTTATGGCAGCCATGCTTCACAAAGATAGGTGATAGGGAAGGTTGATGCCTCATAAGAGACAATACAAGTGAGCTAGTTGGTTATAGAGAAAAGGATTGAAGCAGCAGGAAAATGAAGGATTAATGTGAGACAAGAATAATCCCCTATAAGAAGGGCACAGCCTTTTGTATAATCCCCCTATGGGAGACAAGAATATACTCCTAGTTATTTTCCATTTGTTAGAAGCACTTTCTGGATGGCTTTCAAGAAAAATGTATGCTAGAAGTCACTTACCATCCTCAGGCACTACTTCCTCTCTATCTTCAAGGAGAGTCATTACCCGTCTCAATGGTTGCATGGCAGCCTCTTTGCATAAAAGCCGAATATCCGAACCAGAGAAACCTTCTGTTCTTTCCACCAATAAATCATAAGGAAGCTTCTCCTCATCTGGCTGTGATGGCAGGAGTTCTTCAAACATGGCTATTCTAGCTTCTGGTTCTGGAAGGGGCACAAGAATCTTAGTTTTACATGATCAACGGAAAACTGTTTGAGTGATAAACCAAACACTGGTGACATGTTTTGCTAATTTGTTTTATAGGGCAGCACATCAGACAAAAATGGGCAACAGGGCAACATCTAAATAAAAATGAGGACAAGAGGGAAAAGTTTAGAGATGGTAATGTCCACCAAACCTAGCACACACACACACACACATATATATATATAAAATTTCTCTGCTTTGCGAGGTGGAATCGCCTAAATCTTTTAAACCAAGAACAGAAGTGCAACCCTCCACCTTTTAATTGTAAGGATGAGCAACTCTCAACTTGCAAGAGCACAACATAAAGTATGGCCTCAATTAGTAGCTTCACATCCAAAAATAGTTGTGGATCTAACTCTGATCATTATCTAGTAAGCTTAGCACTTTTGCAGAAAATATCAAAGGATACTCGCTTCTCAAGACGCCGGAGCATGGCCCCATCCAACTCCCAAGGGAGATTAGTTGCTGCCAAAACAAAAACGAGCTCGTTTGTGCGAGTCAAACCATCCATCTGCAATCTAATCAAATTCATCAATTTATGCATAAAAGCAACAGAAATCATAAATCATTTCATTTCCAAATCATGATTTAAATTGCATGCAGAATTTGAGATGACATGCAATGGAACAAGTGAAATCCTGAATTTTCAAATGCAGCGCCTGACCATATGCATCAGGATAATACTGGTTAATATAATTTAGAATTACGGGAATTGGAACAGTGGTAGGGGGACTGAAGCAAGACAGACCAACATGAAATGACATAACAACACAGAATAAAAGCATAATATTTCGTTCATTAACTGTGATTGATGCTACTACAATTGTGTTGCCCAGACAGAAAACAAAAGAAATTTTCTATGATAGTCCTTAGGTAGGCATGTACTCATTCGGCAAATTCTCTGCAATGCCTGTAGAGTAAACCCTTTAGCAAATGATACACATGACCTTTCCAAGGAAGAGTGCAATAATAATAATAATAATAATAATAATAAATAAAATTAAGAACGTAAGTATTCAGTGGTTTGGACGGCTTGCACTTAAGTGATAGAGGTTGAAGTTTTTGCACTTCAATGTCACATGTTTTTGAACCACAAGTACAAGTGTTTACAAGTCAGTCAAACTTACGGCATGGCATAGAAAACTGAGACTGGCTCTGCTTTCCAGCCATAAGCAAAGAGCAGAAGAAATTAGCACCACCAGAATGTGAGACAATCCTAATTGAGAGACCATAACAATGCAAACTACACTAAGTAGGAAACCATAACTGAGAGGTGTCAACACATCAATAAAAGAAAGAAAACCCAAATTCACACATTTATGCCCTGCCAAAAATATAATTGAAGGATAATGGCTCCTTTTAAAAAACGAAATGCAAGATATTCAAGTGCAAAAATTCACCAAATTGTAAATGGACAAAGGCTCAAAGTTAGTTTATGCATTTTTTCCCTATTTTTAAAGAGTTCAACCTGAATTACAATTATGTTGAACCACTTTAATTAAGGATAAATGTAATCACAAGTGACGAATAACTGTCTTAACATGAGTTGAAATAAATTATGTTTGCATTTTATGCCATTTGGTTGGAAACATACATGCACAAGCACACACATAGAGGCGTGCATTCACTTGCACGCAGGTGCATATGCACAAAAAGAACACAACAGAATGGTATAATTTAAGGAAACAAACATCACCTGTATAAGCAGTTCAGTCTTCAAACGCCTACTTGCTTCATGCTCACTGCGAGCTTCGCCACGCTGACTGATAATAGCATCAATTTCATCAAGAAATATAGTTGATGGTGCATGGTGCCTAGCAAGCTCAAATAACACCTTTATTAACTTCTCTGAATCGCCTGCAGTGTGTACAAAATTTAAGAGTCAGATTCCTTTCAGTGACAGCAAATGCTTTTGCAATACAGGGAGAAAATCTTAGTGTATATTTAAGAATTTCTCTACTCCCTTTCTCTCCTTTGAAGATTTGTTGCTTGATAACAAGAAGAACAATGGTAGAAAAACTGAAAAATGGGTGGCAATTGGTCTCACTTCAGTATGATGTACAACTACAACTATAAAATGCAAATTAGAAAACTTTTGGTATTTATTTCGTGGAGAAAATATAGGTCGCAAAATATTGACCATGCAAATGAGACAAATTGGTTTTGTTATCTACCACCATCATATCATAAAAGCACAGGACAGATGCAATCACCAGCCAGAAAAACTTATGTGAGTTTCTCAATTCAAATCCATTGTGTGGCTTTCATCCATGAGTTTCTGCAGTCTGTACAAACTTCCTCTTTTATTTGGAAAGTTTTAAATCTACCTCGTGGATTTTCCTTTTTTGTCAATTATTTTTGATGAACATTTGTTCTAACATCACAATACAGAAGTCGAGGGGAAAAAAATTACCATATAGGACAGAGATTCATTAAATTCACCCAAAAACAGTTCAGAACTTATTACATAATTCCTGTGGGTATGAAGGCCAGCATTTAGTTTGATGTCTTGTTAGCCCTTCACCACAAACTGGCCCTCATTCCCATTTTCATGACAATAATAAAAGCGGGATTACTGATTAAAACAGTTTTTCATGCCGAAGATAAAATCAGGAAAATTAATCCAAAACATGGTGATGTCTGATTATCATATAGTTGACACCTGTGAGGAAATAGAGGTGGTATGCAACAGCTGAACAATAAGACTGGATTCCAAAAATCCCATCACAGCAGCATTTATTGCAAAGAAGCTATGGACAAAAATTCATTCCATGATAGAAAAGGTCATCCTTCCATCACTTAAAAGACCCCAAATATGTAACCAGATTGCTCAACCAAATGTAAACTTCACAGGTATTGCATAACACAACATGCATAAAATCCACTAAAATGTTTATCCTCAAAGGCCTAGGAACTTAAATTATCACAAGTCACATCAAACAAAAGTTAATCATGCTTTATTTCTCCATACAAAGGACTTGATATACTTCATATTCTAAACAACATGATCTTAAAAAAGTTCCCAAACATACCCCGCCACTTGCTAACCACTGAAGATGCTGAAATATTGAAAAATGTGGTTTTGCACTCTGTAGCGACAGCCTTCGCAAGCATTGTCTGAAACATAAATATTGAAACTTATATAGCAATAAATATATCACCAGAAGAAAGCATGCTCAAGAACCAGCAAGGTATGCAAACCATTTTTTTATTAACCTAGAATTATTCTCTCCTGTAATCATTGAGAGAAACCATTAAAACATACCATTGAACAAAATAGATTATTTTGTTTTAAAGACATCTTTTGACAAAAACATTTCCATAGATAGATTATAGCACTTAATCAAACAAGTCATACAAGATGAGTTCATAAGAGAGGCTGAATGGTGGTTGAGAGTGTGTGTGGTTTGGAGGAGCAACATTGCAGCATTGTCGTATTAAGCACATGCAATGGAAATCCAAAAAGTTCTTATCATGCACAACCTCTGGGACTTGTCATAAGGGGCACTTTACATCCAGTCAATGGGAGATTTACATACTATTGCATGTTATAATTTCTTTCATGTAAATTATGATGCCCAAATTCCTTCCCTGGATTCTTATATGTCATAAACAAAATTCCTTTGAATACAATAAGAGACCCTATCACAGAAAACAACAGGTGCAACCACATACATACCTAATGCCAACTTTCGTCCAAATTTCCAATGTAGTATCTCTTTAAGGCAAATGGCAGCAAAGGACATGGAAATTGCTCAAATTTTTCTAACAGAAAATAAATGATTTTTTTTTTTCTGTTGCATCTAAATCATTACAGTTTACAATCCAAGTTAAACTTTTAATATGGAAAACAAAAACTACAAAGGTAATCCAAGTTTCAATATAGTTACCTGATCAACATCCCCATGAAAAGATCTCAAATCACACCCCCAGAATACACACAAATAAAAAACAGAAAGAAAACTATATGTGCCTCTCTAAAAATGTTTCAATAAGAGAAAGAGAAGGCATGCATTGAATGGAATAAATTTCTTAAATGAAATACAAGATAAAATAGCACTAGAAACAATAAATAGAAAGTACTCAAACCTTCCCTGTCCCTGGTGGACCAAAAAGAAGAATGCCTTTCCATGGTGACAGAAGACCAGTGAAGTATCTGTAAAAGGGGAGGTTAGGTTAACTATGAAATGTAAACTTCAAAGATTTAACCAAAGCAAATTCTCAGGTGCATAAACAAGATAGTAAAGCACATTGAGAGAATGTTAACAAATACGTATGTCTGCTTGAAAAAACAGGGAGACACATCAAATCAGATACATAAGCATTATTAGAGGTGGCTGCAAAATTCCTTAAATCTCAAGAGCATCAAAATCATACTTCTACATCATGCTAAAGAAAAATTAAATTTTTACAGCTGTATTAGCTAGCTAGTCTTTGAATGAATTAACTTTAGCAATAGCACAGACCTTGTTACTTGTCCATATCATTCTTTGAAAACAGATAGGAAAACAAAAACCTTTTCAGTGAAAATTCTCAAGACATGATTCAAATTTAAAAAGAAAATTTTGAAATTTCATTCCCTCGTATAATTGAGAATCTGCAAATTCATCATAAAAAAGGGTCTTAAATAAATTTGTGTGTTAAGATAATGAAGTAAACAAGCTTTCATTAAGATGACCTACTTGGGATATTTTATCGGCATAACTACTGCTTCTTTCAGTAAACGTTTTGCATTCTCTAAACCCTTAATGCTTTCCCACTTAACATCTGGACTACCACGAATGATGTCCCTGTACAAAATAAAACAATATTCATCATCTAAACATTCAGAGTACTGAAGTCAAAATGTAAAATCCTGCGGCACCCAGACAATACAAATATGATATATAACAGTTATCCAACACAACACATGAAACAGATACGCCCTTGTGCACAAATTTGTCCATATTACCAATTACCTGCATAAACTCTCTGCTAAAGCACGTGTTTCAGCAGAATCAAAAGCAGGAAGCAATGGCATCTGACTGGAAAATGAAAAACAAAAATCAGCAGATTCTCAAGGGAAAATGCAGTTAGCTAGTTCAACCAAACATTATAGTAGTAATGATTTTATCCTGATCAACATTAATTTCAGCGATTAATGTTCAAAAAAGAAATTTTAAGATAACTTGATCAAAATTACAACAATTAAAAGTTGTTTGCTCATCCTTTTAGTTCGAACTGAGAGTCTGTATAAGATAATAGCACAGCCACATCGCCATCATATCTTTAGCATGCATATGCATAAGATTTGTTTTACTTTCCCTTGACCGGTATCATGAAATGGTCGAATCATCAAGCACCACAAAATAAAAAATCTCATAAACCTATTTTTGCCAAGATATTTGCTATTAATGAGTATTGGGGGGGGGGGGGGGGGGGGGGGGGTGGAACTAAGATACCAAAACCAAATTTGAAACATCATTTCGAAAACCCATTTACTGCACTTACGGTCTTTCATTAACTCCATTAGACAAAACTCCATTGGAGTGTGTTGTTGAGCTCCTATCCTGAAATCACATTGCAACAAATTAACTTTACACAACGCAAAAATAGCTACAAAAAAATAAAAATAAAAGAAGAAGAAGCAATACCTGGTTTCTAAACTGCTCATAAATAGCCATCTCAGATGAATTCTTGAGATAACCATTTCCATTTGAACTCCCATTCGATGCTAATGCTGTTGTTTGACCGTTTTGCTGCGATTCCGATGCTGCTTTTGTTTGTACTTCTGCCTTCTTTCTCCCAAACTTGTCATCATAAAATAATTTAAAATCCTAAAAACACACATTAGTAACTTAAATAGATAAAATTATGAAATTCACCTTGATATGATTATATTCTAAAACAAAAATTAAATTAAACTTGGAATTATCAAATGAAGGTGAAGTGGTACCTGAAAAGACCAGCGAGTGAGAGAAGGTTCGTCGGCCATTGCTTACTTACTGATGACAGACAGCAGAGGAAGAAGAAGAGAGATCTGTCTAACAAAGAAAATTATATATCTTCTTTCGTCTTGTCTATCCTCTCTGCCTCGGCTAATTGGATTTTAATTTTAACCACTCTTTAGAGATTATAGAAATAAATAAATAAAAACTCTTAGCCTTACTGTACTTACTTGGCAACAGCCAAAGAGCGCATGTGCTTAAAATTAGGAAATGAATTAATTTCTGCTGCTATGCTCACTTATTTATTGCTATAAAATAAAATACACAGCTAGATTTTGCCAAGGAGACACATTATTTGGATGAGCTGCCAATACTTCTGAATACAACTAGGTTTTGATTGAGTCCCTAAACAATGTTTTATCACAATTCGGTAAATTCTCCATTCATTCTCTCTATCAATTTCCTTCTTGGATTCTATCTAAATTGTAGTGTTTCTACGAAATAAAAAATAAAATCTGAACTTATCTTCTTCTTTTTTTATCCTACAACATAATTTAAAAAAAAAAAAAAAAAACCTTAAAATTTATCTTTCATTTGTTTCATTTTGTCCATTCAAACCTATGGGACTTAATTATAAACAATATAGTCTCAACATGTCAAGTAAATTCATCATCTTTTATTTACAATTTAGTTTGATTTGGTTAAATAAACAAAATGTTGTAAACTCGTAAGATAGCTTTTTCTTCCCCATAAGAGCTTGTTTACCAAATTAAGATGAACATGAGAGTTAAATTGGATTTTTTTTTCTAAGAAACAATTTTGTTTTATAGAAACGTCAACGTTTCTGTTTAAGATTTGCTGGGAATTCGGAGAAAATTTAAAAATTTTGAATACTTTTCTGATTCAATTGAAAGAAATGTTTTTGCAAGGACTCAATGGAGATAAAATCAATAATGGGGTACTTTATGAGGTTCCCCTACTACCAAACCGGCAAACATACTTTTTGGAGATGAAAGACAGTGGCATCAGTCGTCACCAACGAGTTGATTAACATGATTTAGTTTGTGGCTTCTTATTTTATTTTGTTAGAAGACTTGTGAAAAACTAGATCACTATCATATGCTGCCATGGTCCCAAAGCTTCTTCTTTCTGGCCAATCTGTACCAATCGTTGTAATGTTGGCAAGGTCTGCACTTCTTCTCTTATTGGTGTGGAACTGTTGTAGAAATTGCAACCAAAGTCACTGATTCATCTCTCCTTGCTAAAGCATCTGCAACTTTAATCTCTACTCCTTTTTGTACTCAACGACAAAGTCATAGCCCATTAACTTTTCCAACCATTTCTATTGCATCTCTATGGTTATCTTCTGCTCCTAAAGAAATTTTAAACTCCTTTTGTCCGTTCGCACAAAGAAAAATCGCCCATATAGATAAGATAGATAAGGCTTCCATCTCTAAACAACCAACACAAATGGAAGCATCTCCTTCTCATTGGTGGATAAATAAAGGTTCTTGCTTTTTAACCCATAGCAAAGAAAGCAATAGGTTTGTTTTCCTACATTAGAGCACCACTAATAGCACTACCAGAAGAACCACATCAATAATAAAGGACTTCAAAAAATCTGACAGAGCTAATACTGGAGCACATGTAATGGGACGTTTCAGTTCTTCGAAGGCTGCCTCCGAACGCTCATCCCATTTAAACCCGTTCTTTTTCAGTATATAGATGATAGGTGCAGCTATCTTGCCATAATTCTGGATGAACTTGTGCTAATATCCTGTCAAAAGCACCTGACGGCTTTAAAAGTGGTCGGTTTCGGCTAATCGAACAATATGGCTGAAATTTTCTCCGGATCAACTACCACTTTGCATGAGAAATTATGTGAGCTTGTAAGATAGCCCAAACCCACATTTGTCTCTCTTCACATACACCTTGTGAGCTTGTAAGACACAGAGCAATATTTAAATGCTTAAGGTACTCTAACAAAGTTTTGTTATAAATAAGAATATCATTAAAAAAAAAAAAAACACTGAAATGAACTTACAAAGGTGGTTTTTGAAGATTTCATTCATTAAAAATTGGAAGGTTAATAAAGCATTGGTGAATCCAAACGGCATGCATGAACAAGAACTCAAAGTGCCCATCATATGTGCAAATAGCTACTTTTGATATGTCATTGGGAGCCACGTGGATCCGATGATAACCTGATCGAAGGTTCAATTAGGTGAAGAATCTTGCTCCAATAGTTCATCAACTCGATCGAAGGTCCAATTAGGTGAAGAATCTTGCTCTAGCAGTTCATCAAGAAGTTCATCAATTACTAGAATTGAAAACTTGTCCTTGATTGTATTATAATTCAAGAAATGATAATCTATGCATAGACACCAAGATCCATCGACTTTTTTCGTAAGTAAAACTAATGAAGTGTATAGATTGTTACTTGGTCGCATCACACTTGTATTCAACAAATCAACTATATATAATCTTCTCAATCATTCTTTATAAGTGGTGGTATCTATTTAAGAAACTAAGAATTGATTGTTAGGATTTTCACATATAATCTTTTTATTGTAGCAAACTCTTTAAATAGAGTTTTAGAGATAGAGTTTCTATTACAATAAGTTATTGAAATATATACAATATCTAACTTTTATCCTTGTGTATAGATTATCAAATTTTTATCCTTATCATCCTCCTTCAAGTCGAATTGTAGGAATCGTGGTCGGTTTATTAACCTAGTGGAGATGTTTGCGTTTTGACAAAAATTTTATCGTGATATCGACTAACCGATCTTTGATAGAAATGTAATGCACAAGCAATTCATGTTTGCTAACTTTGTCCTCGAACAAAGTGGAAATCAATTTCCAAGTGTTTAGAACTGGAATGAAACACTAGATTAGCTATAAAGTAGGTTGCTAAAAGATTATCACGTTAAAATATCGATGGTTTTGCCAATGGAAACCCAATTTCGTTTAAAAGTGTTTGAAGCTAAGTCACTTTTGATATTGTTATTAGCAAGGGTCGATGCTTTGTATCGGTAAATGAACGAGTTATAATTTTCTCGCTTTTGAGATGTCCAAGAGATAAGATTACTACCAAGCAAAACTCGTGGTACTTTTCTTATCAATGATATCCCTTTCCCATTCAACATTAGTGTAAGTCGAGACATAGTGAGAAGATGAGGGAGTAAGTAAGAGTTCGTGAGTTGTAATGCCTCTTAGATAATGAACAATGTGTTTAACCGAGATCCATCGCTCTGTTATTGGAGCGTGCATAAACTATGCAACATGATTGATAGCAAATAAGACATTTGGTCTCGTGAGTGTTAGATATTGAAGCCCACCAACTATACTATGAAACAAGGTTAGATTGTCAAAGGTTGTGAAGGCCCGATTGGTTATATGGAAACTACCAAGTACGACCCACTACAACAACATTATGCATATTTTCCCATTTCGAAGATCTCGAATATACTATGATTGACAAAGGTGTAATCCCTTCCTTATTTCTAGTCACCTTTATGCCAATAAAATAATGCGTAGAACCTAGAGCCTTAATTGGGAATTGTTGTTGAAGACCCGAATAATCTTCTTATTAAGTTCTTGATAATTTCTAGTAAAAAGGAGATCATCAACATAGATGAGATAATAAATAGTATCCGTGCCATGATGATAGAGCATAAGAAAAGTATCTATTTTAAAACTAACAAATTCTAGTTGACATGATTACTGAGGTGAGGCTTATTACCACATTCTTGGTACCTATTTAAGTCTATAGAGAGATCATTTCAAAGCACAAACATGGTCTAGATGATGTGGGTGAATCAAACCATATGGCTATTCCATATATACTAAAATATCCAATTACCCATATAAGAAGGCATTTGAGATATCTAGTTGCTTAACATGCTAATTATGGGTGACTACTAAGGATAGGATGAGACAAATAGTGTTTGGCTTCACCACTAGATTGAATGTGTCAAGCATAATAAAAGCTAAGATGTTGATGGTAGCCTTTAGACACTAAATGGGCTTTGTAATGATCAATAGAACTGTTGAGCGGTCATTTGATTTGGTATACCAATTTACAACAATAATGTTGAGAGCTTGAGAACATGACATTAAATCCCAAGTGCCATTAGTAAGAAAAGCATAAATTTCCTCATGCATACCTTGCCACCATAGAGGCCGGGTGCTAGCCATTGTGAAAGAAATGGGTTCGAGTAGTGAGAATTGAGTTGATGAAGGCTTTAGGTTTAGTGTGCCCTATTTTGTTATGGGTAAACATGGGGTGAGAGGGAGGTGGTGGTTGCTGTCGATGCATGATTGAATCCGGTAAAAGGTTGGAAATACGATTAATGGCATGCTATACCATCACAAAATTATATACTTATTTTCTTTACTATACCTAATTTCAAAACTATAGCTAAGGTAAGCAAGAGTCAATCCCATAGAGAATCGATTCAATAAATTATTCTCTCTTGTTTGATTGTTCTAAAGTATAAGAAAAGGTAAAGGAAAGGTTTTATAGACCGTAGTAAAGGTAATCAAAATTAAACAAAGAGGTAAGCAAGAGTAATAAAAGTCTTGGTCAAAGGATTGTTTCCACTTTTGCTTCAATCGTTGATCATTGATTCAAATATTAATCAATCATTTTCATGAATATTCACCGTAGAACAACAACATGCTATTTTATCCCCAACGTTCCTTAATGATTCGTTAAACAAAACAACCTATTTAATTAATCTCTAACTATTAAACGACTTAGTACAAACTATCTAGATTTAATCCAATAATAACATTAAGTAAGAGAAAGATAGGTAAAGTTAAATAATTCTTTTACAAGTTATGAGAATTTAATCTAGTTTTGCACTTTTCAAGAAATTAAATGAAAACTCATTTATAATCATTAATCTTTAGTTTTTATCATAAGTAAGATTAGACAAGCAATTATGGACTTCAATTCTTAACTAGCAATAAATTATATAAATTAATCAACAAGTATGCATTCTAATCAATCAATCAACACAATCATATTCAGATATTGT